GGCCCCCCCGCGTTGCGCCCCCCCCCGCCATATGTCTGCAGGCGGCTTTGCCCCATTTCCATTTCTTGGCGCGTTAAAAAGCGAGCGGGATGCTTGGCTTATCGCCTCCCTCCCTCCCTCCCTCTCCGCCCTGCGGGTGGGCATCCCGCGCCCCACGGCCGCGGGAGCATCCTGCCCCGTCCCCACCTGGCCCCGGCACGGCTTTCTGGCCGGCAAACCCTTCACCATGTGGCTCCCACATGTGTTCCCGCATCTCCACGCCGGAGAATTAACGGCAGCTTTGGCTTCGGTTTAAGTCTTATTGAAAGGCAAGGCTGCGAACGAGGGACTTTCCTTAAAGCCCTTCCCGGCTGCCCGGTGGAGCCGCGTGAGCTGACCAGGAGCAGCCGACCTCGTGCGCCTCGAGAGGTCGATAATTCGCTTTTCAAGAGGAAATCCAGCTGAGCTGCGCTTTGCTGCCCGGAGGGGAAGATGTGACCCGAGGGAAGAGCCCGCGGGGCCGTCGGGAGCTGAGGGGCTGGAATGGCCACGGCAGTGGCAAAGCCTGGACCAAGCAGCACTACAGGGAACCCCAAAAAGCACCTGCAGAGACCAGAGGGGAGAGGAAACACCTGGTACTGGCGGGACACGAGGCCAAATCCACTGTGCGGGGGACAAAGTCAGAGAGGGAAGGCATCTCTCCCCCGTTCCAGCTGCGGGAGCCAGCGACAGCTTGTCCGGGCTGTTTCCAGCTGCCCTCCCTTACCAAGGCCATCAGAAAACCCACTTCGTTTTTCCAGTGAGCCCCACAAAGAGCGTTTCTGGCACTCACACATCACGGCAGAGCCCTTGCCAGGACGGGGAAAAGGCCACGACACTTCCAGCTTCCATCACGGTGGGGTCTGGGCCGGGCAGAGTCCTCCCGCGAGATGCTGCGAGCGCCGGGGCGGAGGAGAGCGGCACGCAGGGAGCGGGGAGGCTTTTAGGAACCGAAGGATGTCACTATAGTTTAGGTTTGTGGCTTTTTTTTACTGCCGAGGGTGGATTTACTGAGAGGAGCGGGCAGCTTCGGACACCGCAGCATCACCTGCCTGCTCCCCTCTGGGGGCTTCTCCCTGTCACCCCGATGGCTGTGACACACCGTGGGGTCTGGGTCCTGGGGGTGTCACCAACCCAGGCACCCGTGAAATGTTGTCCCTTGTCCCATGCAGGCAGAGGAAGTCTGGTCACCCCATCCCAGCCACAGCCACTAACCTGCCCGGAGCCTCTCGTTAGGGTCACAATAACATTAACAAACCCGTCACGGGGACGGTGACAGGCGGAGGGCTGGAGTGAGGTGTGCGGGGACAGATGGACAGATGGACGTGGGCATTTGAGGGGATGGAGAGACGGACAGAGGGACAGACAGCAGAGGGGGGGTGCGCATGGAGGGGGATGGATGAGCGTGAATAATCGAGGGGCTGAGTGGAGACCGAGTGCACCCCAAAAGGGCTTCGTGGG